AGAAAAAAACAGAATTCTCAGAGCAGCCAGGGAGAAGAAAACGGTAACTTATAAAGGAAAACCCATTAGATTATCGTTGGACTTTTCAGCACAGACCTTACAAGCCAGAAAGGAGTAGAATCGAAAATTCAAACTATTAAATGTAAGGAACTACCAGCCAAGAATACTGTATCCAGCTAAGCTCTCCTTTAGATATGAATGAGAAATAAAGACCTTTCCAGACATACAAAAATTGAGGGAATTCTCCACTACAAGGCCTGCACTACAGGAAATACTGAAAAGGGTCAGCTCACTTAAAACGACAAAAAAAAAAAAAATGTAATTCGGAGTAAGGTGATTAGCAGGCTGATAAAAGCAGAAGAGTATAACCCTTACTAGGAACAGGGCATTATAAGTTTAAAATAAGAAGAGATTTGCTATAGCAAGATAGTAATGAACATTCAGCATACATAGGGACAAATTGAGACAACAATGACTGAAAAGGGGAGGATTCAAAGATCCAAATTTGCTAAGGGGAATGGAGATAAGTCATGCACAGAAGAAAAGGGATGACTCACTGTATATGTATAACTGTCCTTTACATATTCATAATGGTAAACACAGGCCAAAGATTCAGAATTGACGTATACAACATAAAACAAGAAGAACCAGAGGGAAAACCCACAAAAGCCAACCAAAATAAAGAAAAAAAGAAACACAAGGTCAAGGAAACAATGGAAACACGGAGCTACCAGAAAGCAAAAGATGAAATGGCTACAAGAACTCATATTTTAATAATATCCCTAAATATAAATGGACTGAACTCATCAATAAAAAGGCACAGAGTTGCAGATTGGATCAAAAAACAAAACCCAACCATATGCTGCCTACAGGAGATACATCTCTGCTCCAGAGACAAATATAGACTCAAAGTGAAAGGGTGGAAAATGATATTTCCAGCAAATGGCATTCAGAGAAAAGCGGAGTAGTGGTACTAATATCGGACAAAATAGACTTCAAAATAAAAAATGTAAAGAAAGATACTGAGGGATACTTCATAATGATAAAGGGAATCATGCATCAAGAAGACATAGCACTTATTAATATCTATGCTCCCAATCAGGGGTCCCCCAACTACATAAAGCAATTACCAACAGAACTAAAGGGAGAAACAGACCAAAATGCTGTCATAGTAGGAGACCTAAATACTCCACTGTCAGATATGGACAGATCATCCAAACAGAAAATCAATAAGAACAAATACATGGAGACTAAACAACATGCTCCTAAAGAAAAGCTAGGTCAGAGAAAAAATAAAAAGGGAGATCAAGAGATACATAGACATGAATGATAATGATAGTACAATATATCAAAACTTCTGAGACACAGCAAAACTGGTCATAAGAGGAAAGTTCATATCACTACAGGCCTACTTCCAAAAACAAGAATGAACCCAAATAAACAACCTAACACTTCATGTTTAAAAACTAGAAAAGGAAGAACAAATGAAGCCTAAAGTCAGCAAAAGGAAATAAATCATCAAAATTAGAGCAGAAATAAATGAAATTGAAAACAAAACAAAATGATAGAAAAAATAAGAGGTGGTTCTTTGAGGTTAATAAAATTGACAAACTCCTGGCTAGACTCACTAAAGAAAAAAGAAAAAGGACACAAATAAACAAAATCAAGGATGAAAGAGGGGAAATTAAGACTGAAATCACAGAAATACAAAGGATCATACAAGAATACTATGAAAACGTATACACCACAATTCAATAACCTAGAAGAAATGAACCAGTACTTAGAAAAATACAACCTTCCTAGGCTGAATCAAGAACTGGAAAATCTAAATAGACCAATCAGCAGTATGGAAATTGAAACAATCATCAAAAACCTACCAAAAGTAAAAGTCCAGTACCAGATGGCTTCACCAGTGAATTCTACCAAACATTCAAAGAAGATTTAATACCTATTCTCCTCAAACTCTCCCAAAAAATCAAAGAGGAAGCAATACTTCCCAACTCATTTTAAGAGGCCAAATTCACCCTGATACCAAAACCTGGTAAAGATAACACAAAAAAAGAATACTACAGACCAATATCTCTCATGAACACAGATGTAAAAATCCTAAATAAGATACTAGCGAATCGAATACAACAACATATTAAAAAGATTATATATTATAATCAAATGGGCTTCATCCCAGAGGCACAGGGATGATTCAACATCCGCAAATCAATTAATTGATACATCACATAAATTAAAAAATAAGAATCATATGATCATATCAATAGATGCAGAAAAAGCCTTTGACAAGATACAGCACCCATTTATGATCAAATCACTTAACAAAATAGGTATAGAAGGAAAATACCTTAATATAATAAAGGCCAAATATGACAAGCCCTCAGCCAACATTATACTTAATGGTGAAAAACTAAAAACCTTCCCTCTAAGATCAGGAACAAGGCAAGGCTGTCCGCTATCGCCACTGCTATTCAATATAACATTGGAGGTCCTAGCAAGTGCAATCAGGCAAGAGAAAGATATAAAAGGCATCCAAATTAAGAAATGAAGAAGTCAAACTGTCACTATTTGCGGATGACATGACTCTCTATATAGAAAACTGTGGGGAGTGGGTTGCAAGCTGACAAGGTCCTTGCAATTTGTGAGGCCAACCAAGGTTGCCTCACCTCCACAAATCCTCCTAAGAATGGGAAGTAGGAACTGATCGAGAACAATGTGGGTGTTGAAATGCAAACGATTATAGCAGGGTGTGTAGGGTTGGGGTTACCCTATGGAAATGGAAATGATTCTAGTAAGATTTGGAGGTTGGGTGAGGATAATCTCATTTTAGCCAGCAAATGTATGCTCTTGTATAAAAGCAACTTGCAAAAATAAAATCACTCTCTACTCCATCATCAGTGGATAGTGGGCCTCCCGTTCCCAGCTTTCTGTCTTCTTTCTTTTCTCAATCTCCACCCGTTCCCACTCAGGATTATTTTCCAGGGCCGTGCTGGATGTGGCAGGATTTACCACTTGCTGGATGCAGCAGAAAACACAAAGACTCCACAAGAACACTACTAGAAACAATAAGCAAATACAGTAAAGTGTCTAGATACAAAATGAATGTTCAAAAATCCATAGTGTTCCTATACTCTGTTAACAAGTGTCAGAAAAAGAAGTGGAAAAAGTTCCTTTTGCAATTGCAACAAAAAGAATAAAATATTTAGGAATAAATTTAATGAAACATGTGAAAGACCTATATAATGAAAACTATAAGACCCTATTAAAAGAAATCGAAGAAGATACGAAGAAATGGAAAATTATTCCGTGTTCTTGGATTGGAAGAATCAACATAGTTAAAATGACCTTATTACCTAAAGCATTA